TGTTAGAAAGCCAGCGGCTGCTGGCATCCTACCAACTAGTGATTCATCCGTGCGCGGCCCATTCAGCTCCCATTGCTCCACTGTTCCTCTCTTTGTTATACTCCAATGTTCATGTGCAAGACAAATAAACAACTCATAGTGCACACCACCAATACTTAATAAAATTATTTTAAAAATATTATTCACATATGTGCGATTAAAATCTTTGTATATCAAACGGCTGCAATCACAATCTCACTCCTCTGTGTTCCTGCTGGACCAGCATCATCCAGCAATGCAGATCCTCCTTAATCACAGTGAACAACACCTGCCAACTGCCAAAAGAAAAAATCCGCTGACCAAACAACACGGCCCACCTGGTGAGAGACTAGTGCCAAATGACAGCTCTTGTCCCCACAGCTGAACGTATACAAAGGGACGGGGTATATCCAGTGATGTAATTCAAAGATGATTTGATGATCTACAGCTGAGTGATGCACAAATAAGATACAATTTTGTTAATAGTTAAGGTACTTGAATGCAATTTTAGGATTTAACTCCAGGGTTTAATGTCGTCTACTGTATGATTAAGAAAAAAGGATTTTTGTCCTACCTCTAAAATTCTTCAATTAGAGTACAGTAGAGGACACAGGCCTCTCCCCTCTGTTCTTATGATCTCCCTATTGCTTGATTCAAAACTGAGGCTTGATGGCAGAAGGATGGGTGTCCCTGCAGCTTCTTTTCCTATTGTCCAATTTCCTGAAGGTAGCATATAACCCAGGGTCAAAGACTTAATGAGTCTGTGTCCTGTACTGTGCACCAAGGAAAGGATTTTACAGGTAGGTCAAAATCCCCTTATTTCTTGCATGTGATTACATATTCTTTGCAAAGTGAATCTAAACTAAGGGAAAATTCCTCTGAAAAGTAAAAATCCTCTTGCAAAGTGAACCGCCTATTTTCCTTCTGTAAATCAACCATGTCAGCCAAATCTTATTGATACGGACACTTTTGGTCTTCTCTGTGACTTCAGCCTCTCCTTCTACTGTTGATTCCTTGATTCAACAATGCCCACCTTAGCAAACAGACACCACAGCAATTGGGCTCGAAAGGGGAACCCCAAAGCAATAAGTGATGCTCACAGCAGGACCAGAAGATGGCACAAAAATAAAAAACACACAGGTAGGGAACCCACAGGGGCAGAAATGGCACACCAATCCATCACTCTTACAAGTGCCTCTCCTATAGTGTACCTATAAGAAAGGACATACAATGTTTACTAGTAAATCCAGCCCTGGATAAAGCAAATAAAGGCAGTAAGGTATGTAAACTGAAGCAAAGTATAATATAATGCAGGTTAGCAGTCGGGCATATTTCACCCTTTAGATAACAGGAAAATATAAAACATTCCGGATTTGGACAAGATTTAATTTAACTTTTTCCAGTTTGGGAGTGCTGGAGTATTTTATAATTATCTACAGTCTTCATATTGCTTAGATTTGAGAACCTTCAATACGAGGACCTTGTTTTGTTTAGAGTTGTTGCAATACTATTCATCAGATTTATTTTTGCTTAACAATAACAGTGTCCTTTAATGACCTGTAAAAAACATGATGATAGCAAGCATATGTAGGAGTTGTGGCCTTGAATGTGATCTAAAAAGCAAAAGTGCTTAGTTTAATTACTGGGCCTTTATGTTAAGCCTTGGCAGAACACGCCAAGTCATGTGACTTGCAACGTCCTGTGATTTAATGGGTTTTTTTTGTACAATTTTATTTGCAGCAGAGTACAATCACTAGTGCTTTGTGAAATGGCAAGAAAGCACATAAAACACACTGTCCGGGTAATAAAAATAAAACGTTCTCATCCTTGTGGCAAATCCCATTTAAAATGACAGTGCCAGCTGCCAGAATGTGTACTGTGCTTTCACTCAGAGGTATGTGTGTTCCAGACATAGGTCTCGCAAAGTCAAGAAGATTATGTGTATTACACTCCCAGACTGAACAAATACACTGGCCCTACAGTGTACAAACACTGGTAAAAATGTTCTTCTGTTATGGAACACATCCTGCTTAGCTAGTGGCGGAACAATTTATGATTCATTCTTTTGTTGCAACACTACATCATGATTGCGTCCATCGTCTGAGAAGAACAGAATGTTGTGATGTTTTATGCAGTTGTAGTTATTGAGTTTCTTACAAATAATGTGAGAAGGAAATCTATCAAAACATTAAAGGGTCAGTTTACTCAAACCAGGTATGTTGTATCATGGAGAATGCAACAGGCAGTATTGGAACATGCAAAGTTGGCAGAATCACCATGAACAGGGTCAATGGAAAATATATTTAAAAGCATAATACAAATGTTAGAGATGCCACACACTCACCATTGTAAGTTAATATAAGCAAAATGTTACACAACAATGGCCATTGCTGATCACCATTAATAGTCACAAGAAGCATTAGTAGATGGTTACAGGCTAACATTGATGGGAAATAAAAAAAACAATAGCCCTGGATGGTACAGTACAGCAACAAACCTTTTGCCATTTCCAATAGTATTTGTGTTGTTTTGTAATATAAAGGTTATGGTGCCAAAGATTCAGTAAGGTAGTAAACAAGTCCACAGAAATAAAGTAAATATAAAGAAGATGAATGATGTTAAAGGTAACAAGGCTCCACCAAAATCTGACCTTCCATGCGCTTACAAATGTTTGGGATTCCAGCAGTGCAATTTCTCCACTCACTGAGTGAGATAAGGAGTACCCAACTAAGATAAAATAATATTTATTAATGGTCCTGAAATCCCTACTTGTTTTCATATTCAGCCTTATACTGTATAAGATAAGAGCTGTGGTAGATAGGTTCATACAAACTATTTAGTTTAAACCAGATTTTGCTGCAGATCAGGCTGGATTATATGACCCATTTGTTTATCATTTACACCACATTGATTAGTCCCATTATAGGGACTAAGGAATGTGTTGTTTAGGTGTGCTTGTTTAGGTGTGGGGCCTGTTATATACCACTGTTTTTTAGAAATTATTCTTACAATTTCTACATGTGTAATCAGTGCATGTTTTTAAATATCCTCAGTCCTATTACACTTTGTTACATCTGAAAGATGTACACATAAGGTATACTTTAGGTCTGATGGTTTATAGACTTCCTTTTGTCAGGTAAAGGGCTCTCATCATCGGTGACCCCTGTGACATAGAGTCGCTCATCACCTTCTTACAGGCAGGTTTCGCCAATCTGCACTTGAGCTACAGGAACCTATGCATATGGACAGAAACAAGGGCTATCCTGGAGATTTGGTGGGGTGAGTCACCCAACCCATCAAAGCAGTAGCATAGGGCCATAGGGAAGAGCTCCAGCTGTTGAATGACTGAAGGGTCTGTGATGATAGAACCCAAGAACCCTGTTCAGATGTCTGCTCCAGACCGCGAGGGTTTGACAAACTGACATAGTGGCAATAGAAGGGTGCATACCCAGATTAGCAAGTAATTGAGCTGCAAGTTTGAAAATGACTTGCTAAACTATTGCAGACTTGCCAAGCTTCACAATTTTGTTGCACAATTAAAGCAAGTATGCATTGCAAGTCTCCAGACCAGCGAGCTTGCAGAACCCAAGAACCCTGTTCAGATGTCTGCTCCAGACCGCGAGGGTTTGACAAACTGACATAGTGTCAATAGAAGGGTGCATACCGAGATAGCAAGTAATTGAGCTGCAAGTTTGAAAATTACTTGCTAAACTATTGCAGACTTGCCAAGCTTCAGAATTTTGTTGCACAATTACAGCAAGTCTGCATTGCAAGTCTCCAGACCAGTGATCTTGCAGAGCTCTTGCTAGGACCTGCAGGACTCTTGCTATAGACTTGCTAAGCAAATTTGCTTCAAATTCAAAAAGTGTCAACTAGAACTTGTTCTGCAAGTGTTCTGCAGGTCTACAACTTGCCAAGAATGTGTGCAGCAAGTTAACAAGAATTACAATTTATCCCTGGCACAAGTTTGTGGCAAGTTATCCTTGCTATCTGGGTAGCTGTATGAGTGAATGCACAGGAAAATCTTAGCAGGCTTAGGCCTTTTCATGGAACCCATGCTGGTGACCATAGGCTTAGTGAATGCACAGTTTCAGCACCAGGGATGTGTACACTACGTAATAGACTGAAATAGAGTCCTTACGTTTTGGGAGATAGCGGCTGAATGACCCCCCACCTGTGATGAATTCTCAGACTCCGAATCCTCCCTATCCTTCTCCACTTGGGTCTCCGCCTCTTCCTCAGAATATGCGGCACTTGCAATACTGGAATATGAAACAGACCCCTAAACTCACATCTAGTGGATGAGGACTCTTCCCTACTTAGGCAGGAGGTGTGAGGCATGCCTGAGTGAGTACCAAAAGGGAACCAGAAGGGGGAAGCAGAGTGACCAGAGGGCACTAATCATGAACCATGGCCACAGAGCCGTTGGCAGATTGGGAGCTGACTAAGCCTTTTGACCCATTTCCCCTGCACTTATGATTAATGAACAATGCTGAGGAGAAGAAGGGGTTAAGCTGTCCTATGCCAGGTACCCATAAAACACTCAGACGCAGAGTCCAGACTGTCCATGCTGCGTGTAGGAGGTAGGAGCTGGAAGAACATGCTAGTGATGTCTTCCTGAGAGATTCAAAATGGTGTGGGCATGCTGAGTGCAGCCCCCATTGCAGGGGCTCCACAGGCACATTGGTGGCAGTCTGCCCACAGCAGAGAGCTAGACAGCTAAATAAAAAACAAAAAATGCCTGGGCTCCCGCCAAAAGAAGCTACACATGAGGTGCTTCCGCAACTCATGGCTGTGACACCCAGCTAGTCACAGGTAAAACAGGGAATCATACCTTATAATGATTGATTGGAAACTTCTAGTCAAATTTGCACACCACATTCAGATTAGTGTATGAAAAGGGTATACAGTATTTTACATTTCTTTCAAGGATGATACTATAACAGTACTAAAAGGAGGGTTATACAACACACATAAAATACCTTGTATTTAAGCTCCATGAGTCGTCACTATTAAAGGACTCTGCTCTGGCAGGTTGTGGATTGGCTTTGTAGGTCCCATTGTTGGTATTCTCACTTCTTTTATAGCTATCAGTCTGCATATCTAGTGAGACGCTATCTGATGGAGAGCTCACAATGCCCGAATCTTCCGTGTAGCTATTTACAGATCCAGCATCATCAGTTGTTAAGGCTTCTTCAGATGTGATGCTACTACTGGGCGTCAGGATCTTCCCCCCTGTACAATATAGTCAGAACAACACTGTTAATGACAACAAATATCTCACATTATTAAACGTTCATACATTCAGTGATACTATATATAGTAAACATAAAAAATGTAAGTCAACTTTTTTCCTGCACATTTCATACAGGTATTCAGGTTCCATTATCTAAAAACCTGCCATACAGGAAGTTCCAGCATGTAGAAAATCAAAATTATGCAAACTGGATTTTTTTTTTTAAACAGTTGTAAACAAACTTAATTAACAAATATTTTCTATTTTCTGCAGTTTTTATGAGAGATACTTGTAAAAGTCAATGAGAATATATGAACACTACAGGCAGTAAAAAGTGGATTTTTTTAAAAACATGTATATAAAACTACAATGGTTCTCCAATTTATGGAATGGCAGGGGGTAGAAAATAGTTTGTAAGTATCTAGTGTGAATAATGTGCTCTTGTATTTATTAAAGGGATTGTATTCTTCAAATAGGGATATAAGAGGGAAAAATGCAATCTTCTCGGTGTAACAGGACACCAAAAACAATAAAATAAAAGTACTGAAAGAGAAGAAAATGTTTTTCCATTGCATATTTTGTAAAAGAGAATTCTTAACAGTAAAAAAGGGGAAACAACCTGCGTGATGATTAAATTAAGGGTATGGCATAGGGAAATAAACTGAATAAGTTTGTCTACCCTGGTCCACTGCATATTTCAAAAAACATCGCTCCTTTTCTGGAATATACAATTTAATGCATCCAATAATTTCAACTTTTTTAAACCCACACAATCTGGTCAGTGGTGCCCAATAGACAATGGGTTACATCTAGAAGTACTTTAGCAGTCACCCCTTATGAAAGAAAGAATCTGACTGGTCACTGTGGGACATACCAGACTGTTTAGGACAATTTTCCCTACCCTTAACTTTTATAAATGTGGCCCACTGTATGGAAGAGGCTTGTGTGTCCTTTCAATAAAGGTTGCATTGTTGCAATCAACAAAGTTTTTGAAACATGAATGCCAGGGTTCTGTGATTCTAAGGAAAAATGAAACATGAATCAATAACAGAGATCAATAAAAGGAGATACAAATGAAAGGTGTTTCCATCATTCAGTAATGCTAGGCAGCAAAAAGGCCTTGTTTCAAATTCATGTCCAACTGGTAACTTCTATAAGCAAAATTAGTGAGCTGCTTGTGCAATATAAGATATTGGTTGCTGAAAACAATTCAACAAGTATCTAAATAATTGAATCCTTTGCTAACTGATAAAGCAATAAAAAATGTTTTATTTGACATATGCCAATAATGGATAGAGAGTGCATTAGAATCCCAAAAGACTGTGACCCGGGAATTGTGCACTAAGGCATATTTGAAACATAAAAGGAAAAGCAGCTAGAAACAAGCAACAGCTAGATTGTTGAGGATTCACATGAAACGTCTTTGGTCAAGCCAGAAATGATTAGACGCAAGGATTTAATAGATCAGCGGAGCAAGGAAACTTTATTTTTGTTTATATGCCATGTGCTTTACTACAATTCTAATGTTGTGTATTAAGAGTCACCATAATATGTTCTCACACCATGCAATACATAACAGATTACATCTGTGGCTTCCAGTTAGCTACTTTACTGAAGGCTCGAACAGAACAGATGCTAAACTATAAACAAAAGATGGAAGGCAGCTAACAGGTTCTAGCCAAAACGTTCAACAACAATAACTTTCCACAGACCATAAGACCTAGATCTGCCAAAGTCCTAAAAAGGCAGCTCAATGTGGCATATGACAAAGGGAACACATTACATAGTTACATAGTATTTGGGGTTGAATAAAGACATACGTCCATCAAGTCCAACCCATATAGGTCCACGCATCATCTCATTCTTAGGGATACTGGTATCCCTGGATATTACGGTCCCTCAAGAAATCGTCCAAACATGTCTTGAACAAATCAACACTCTTGGCTGAAATCACTGCCGATGGCAGTGAGTTCCAGACCTTAACCGCTCTTACTGTAAAGAACCCTCTTCGCCCATTGTGCTGGAATTTTTTCTCCACCAACTTTAGGTGGTGGCCTCTAGTCTTTGTAATGGAGGTAATCTCAAACAGTTTGTTGCCAATGTTGCTGTCACCATTGAACATCTTGTACATGAAAATCATATCCCCCCTTAATTCCAGCGTAAACATGTTTATGGTCAGAAGCCTTGTCTCATAGCTCTGGTCCTCCATTCCCCTAATTAGTTTTGTTGCCCTCCGCTGGACTCTCTCCAGTTCAAGGACATCCCTTCTCAGTACCGGTGACCAAAACTGGACCGCGTACTCCAGATGTGGCCGAACCAACGATCTATATAGAGGCACAATTATAGACTTGTCCCTGCAATACATCCCCTTCTTAATACAGGACAAGACCCTGCTAGCTTTGTTTACCGCAGCTTGGCACTGCAAGCTACCATTCAGTTTGTGGTCTACAATGACCCCCAAATATTTTTATATTTCTGACTTCCCTAGCGGCATACCCATGATTGTATAGCCTATTTGTTTATTTTTATGTCCAAAGTACATTACTTTGCATTTATCGGCATTAAACCTCATCTGCCATAGTATTGCCCACTCCCTTATTTTATCCAGGTCCTCCTAAAATGTTATATTGTCCCGATCCGTTTCTAGTACCCCAAACACGGAAACATGGCTATTTATTCCCTCCCCGATGTCAATAATGAATAGGTTGAACAGTATTGGACCCAGCACAGATCCTTGAGGCGCACCGCTCATTACACTAGCCCAGTCCGAAAAGGTGCCATTTACAGATACTCTCTGGACACGTTCCCGTAGCCAGTTCTCTATCCACGTACACACCACCTCATCTATGCCCATAGCCCTCAGCTTGTGTAGTAAGCGCTTGTGTGGTACCGTATCAAATGCCTTTGAGAAATCCAGGTATACCACATCTACCGGCTTCCCTCCATCCATATCTCTGCTTACCCCCTCATAAAAAGTTAGCAAGTTAGTCAGGCAGGAACGGTCTTTCCTGAACCCATGCTGATTGTCATTAACTATGCCCTTATCCTTAACAAATTTTACCAAATAGTCCTTAATTATACCTTCTAACAGTTTACAAACTACCGATGTTAGACTGACCGGCCTATAGTTCCCTGGTTGGCATCTAGCCCCCTTTTTGAATATTGGAACTACCGTAGCCCTCCGCCAATCACATGGTACCCTACCAGTCACTAAGGAATCCTTAAAAATTAGGAATAATGGTCTTGTTATAACCTGGCTTAATTCCTTAAGTACCTTGGGGTGAAGGTTATCTGATCCAACTGCTTTATTTGCATTGAGCATTTTAAGTCTATGTTCTATTCCGCTTTCCGTCAACCATTGTGGTATATTATCGGTTGAACTATGTGTTTTATCACGTACGTCGAACCCGTTTCCCTGAGTGTATAATGAGGAGAAAAAATTGTTCAGCGCCTCTGCCCTCTCCTTGTCACTTGTGAGTAACTTCCCGTTTTCGTCCTTTATTGGGCCTATCTGCTCCTTTCTTACCTTTTTACTGTTAATATATTGGTAGAATGTTTTAGGGGTTTTTTTACTATCTGTGGCGATATGCTTTTCGCATTCTATTTTAGCTTCCCGGATTACTAGTTTGCATTGTTTGTTACATTCCTTGTATTTAAGGAACGCTAATGCCGTCCCTTCCATCTTATATTTTATAAATGCCATTCTCTTTGCCTTAACATGTAGTTTTACCGTTTTTTTTAACATATCGGTTTAGTCTTTGATCTTTTGTTTTTGTTACCCAATGGTATACACTTTGAAATGGCAATATGTAATGTGTTCCTGAAGCAGTCCCACATTGGACTTAGCTAACATAGCTTTAACACTAGGATAAAGATTCAACTTTTATGAAGGAAGAAGGTATAAATGTGCTGCATACAGAGCTCACTACTAGTGGTGGAACTGCTCTTCCAGTTCCAAATACTGGATTAGATCAATATATGGATAATAAATAGAAAGTACATCAGAGCAAACCACTGTTCAAAATAGTCCAAACAAAATAGTTGTAGAACACTCACTTGGAATAGTGATGAAGTTATACACTACTGTGTAATACATAAAGGCAAATAGGCTGCTTACTTTGCAAGAGAATTCACACTTTAGCTTAGTGAATGAGGTAAAGCCCTGATGACTTCCATCATTCAATATGTACAACAAAAAAAAATCTTGTTTTATTTTCCCTGCTAGTGTTTGGGTATTCTTAGCATAATGGATTTTAACCATTCACTAAGCTAAAGTGGAAATCCCCTTGCAAAGTGAAACTTACTTGTAAAGGCCTATTTGCGTTTGGTAAATCAACCCCTTGATGTCTGATTTATAAAGCAGCAGTATGGCCATAAAAAAATGCAGATTTACAAAGCACTGTGATGTGCTGCATAAAAGACCTGACTTGTTAAAGTTATTTAACTGTATCTCCTCCAATCAATGGGTAAGGTGCTATGTTAAACAGAAAAAACGATGTTGGATACCATAGACTTCATACCATGGCCTGTGTTTTATAAATGGACTACAAAATGCAGGCTGCAATATGATGTAATCCGGCAAAGTATAACAGGAAATGGATATTGATAAATGAGTACCTGAATGTTGTCCCCTAAGTGCCACAGTATCAATGATTAGTATTAGATATAGATAGTAGTACAATTTACAGCTCTCATACTCCCAGAGTCTGTGTAGTGCATATCCATATCACACATAATCCTGACAACCACACAAATCTTTTAACAACTTAATTATGACAACTTTATTACAACTCAAATTATAACCTATTAAAATCGTTTAACTACTACATTCTAATTACCATAACCAGTTAAGTCACATCCCTAATAGCAAACATTTCTCTAAAAGCTAACCCTGGGCTGACAATATTGTATGAACAAGGATCTGATGTAGACCCTAGGACCACTACTGGCTGCCATTTTTATATACATGTTTTTAAAAAATCCACTTTTTACAGCCTGT